ACGGTTGAGATTGAATTGTATTGGTTATACAAATGTAAAAGGGTTGTATAATAACTTTTATATATATATATATATATATCTATATATATATATATATCTATACACACACATGACCATCTTCTCCGGGACCAACTCTCATAACCAGCCTTATACACATTAACGGACCTTTGTATTTGGGTCGGGATCGGGATCGGTTACGGGATCACTATTTTGGGGAGGGACCGATTTAGGTCCGAACTGGCCCGACCCCGAACCGATTTTTGTTCACCTCTATTTGTGAGGAAGGAAGAATAGATAAAATTAGTGGGAGATAGGGACAGAAGAGATCGATGATGGTGGAGGTAAATGAGAGAGGCATAAATGAGGAAGACGGGTGCGGGAGACCGAGATGGTGACTTGTTGTGGGGCAGCCGTAGAGGGTGGTCGGTTGTAGAGGCGACAAAGATGGTGTGATCGATAATCCCTCTGACATTTGCAGATCTGTATATATACATAGGGGTAGGGTTTTTTTTTTTGTTAACCCAGTGTATGGTGTTAACTTTGTAAATCTATCACAACCATTCATTTTGTGAATCAATGGATGACAATTATGGACAATTTTGTAATAACTAATAATATAATACATCATCATCTAAGATGAACATACATGAACAAATATATTATTGAAAAAAAAAATCAAAAAGTTTGTAACTGTCCATTAATGACATTAATGTTCATATGAACATTAATCCACTATCATTAATAATAAAAAATATCCATTGTTATGAACATTAATATACACATGGACATCTCCCCTATATGAACATGAGTTCATTTATGAATAATGTGATTATGTTTATTAATATTTGAACAATGTTTACACATGTTCATAAAAATTCACTTTTTCATATATTAACAGAAAATGTTTACTTGTGATTTGTTCACTCAAATTAACAATTTCATCAAGATTAATTTTATTTAATGATAATACATTGTGTAATTTGAATAATTGATCATAATATCTACAATCAAGCAATTATTAAATTGTAACCGCTTATTAATTAATACAAAATGTAACTTGCGTGTATGTATAATTTACCTTTATGCCCTTCATCTCATAATCAATATTTTATTGAAACCTATCACGAACAATGAATCATATTGGTCCACTAGATTAACATAGTTAACACTAAAAACTGAGTTAACAAAAGAACCCAGTTCTCTCTCTTTGTGTAGGAGTTA